TTTTCTTTTTATTCTGAGCCTCTAAGCCTTACTATTTTGCTTTGTACATAGTCTGCTTGGTATTCTTTAATTATGATCCAAGTCTAGATAATTTTTGAATATTTTTGTGGATAACCATTATCGAGAGCTATAATGGCGAGAATGTTTTCATTGGCCGATGTTTTGCGTGTGATGACTAACGCTGAGGACAATATCAGCAGAGCATTGATGTATACTGAGCTAATCATAAACCATAAAAACTTTTACATAAAGTTTGATTTAAAACTTTTGTCAGGTAATCATCAATATCTATTATTTATTTGTTATTCATGGTAGTGATCATGGAGCTGTGGTTAGGGTGCTTGCCTTTCCAAGGTTCAAATCCTATTTTAATTCTTTTTATTTATTTTTTCCCATGTCTTAATTTATAATGTTGGTATTTTTCTTTTTGTATATTTACAATCCAGTTTTTGTTGCAATTAAAGAATGTAGAAATACCAAGATTCCTCTTTTCTCACATAAGGCCAGACTTTTTTATACTTTGTTTAGTGAACACCCGTCCACAATGATGATGATTTCCATTACAACTAAGATTTTATTTTTGGCCAATTAGCTGCATGAAATTTCAGAAAAAAATAAAAGCGCTTCTTTATTTGTATTACGCCTGCCACTGCTTTGAAATCTCCAAAAATAAGATATGTATATTTTCTTACTAATTATACAAATTTAAAGCATTTAACCATCCCATTACTACATTGTTTACATTCTCCAATAATATTCAATTTTTATTTTCTCCTCTGTCTGGATATTTTGGCAAAATCTTTAAAACAAGAAAACAAAATTTTATTTATTTTTTTCCGGCCTCTGTTCTTTAAAAAAAATAAGTTTGCGGAACAAGGTATTAAAAAAATTGTCGCCTATTGTTACAGCAATAATGTCACCTTCATGATTGAAATTATTCTTTTCTTGCATTGTCGTCTAGATATGAAAGGTTACCGATATCAAATTTTAGAAGGAAATTATAAAACTTGTGTTTTGATTTATAGTGATATTGCTATTTTCAATTCAATTCTCTCTATTTCAGGCATCATGTCAATATAAATAAAATCAGTACAAAAGAAAAGTATTCTCTTTAAAGAAACTGAACTATCAATACAGAGACAAGGAACAATCGTTTTATGCATATTAATTTGTGCTTCAAAGGATTTTATTGATTCATTTATAAATTTAGAATATATATTACTATATAAATATGTTTGCTGAATATAAAATAGATGCTGGTAATTTGTTATATAAAAAGGTTCTGTTAAAATAGGAGTTAATATTGATGTGTGTAAGTCATTTAATTTGGTACGCTTTCAAGATTCTGCTGATGTGGGAATAAAATTAAATCCTTTTGGTTTCCGTTTTGTTATAACAAGAATATGCACCTGCCTATTGCATTTCTTTAAATTGTTTCCAGATCCTATAACCTTGATGACTTAAAAAAATGTATTCACCAGTCCTTAGTAAAATTATTGGTACACCTTACTGTACACCTAATAACAAACCAACATACATTATACCAATATGATTTCTAGTGTTTCAAATATACTGATAAATAAATTATTTAAGAAGTACCATCCCTAGTTTGTTTTAATAGATTAGTACATTTTGGAATACATTTTTATTGGAAAACAATTTTTTAATGAAATTGTCATTTTAGAAGTGTTTCATTCAAAATTGTATACTTAGTATTATGGTTGTTATTGTTATAAATATTCAGGTATACTTCATTCACTCACTCAAATTGACTGGCATGCAGCTAAGAGGGCTCAAACCGTAGTTTATTAAAAGACTGCAATAGGCCTATACTGTAATGCATAAAAAAACATTATGGAAAAAGAAAAATAACAACCATCTACAACTTATTATTTAACATTTTGGCAATTGTAACAACAGGTGACCTTTTCAATTGCTCGGATCTGCCGAAAGGAATCTCAAGTAAAGGGTGGGATGAAAGGTCTATTATTGTTTAAGAATCAATTGTTGAGCTCGTATTAGCTATTGTATTGCAGCAAGTTCCTCTTTGATTATTCATATGATTTTCTTTAACTGGATGATATTAAGAAATTTGGCTGCTACTGATTGGTGTGACACACAAAATAATTTTGGTATGCTGTTGAGAAACTTGGTACAACAATTTATTCATAGTTGTTGTCCGAAGTATTTTGTTATTGTTTTTGATGGCTTCTTTGTTAAAATGTGTATTTGATGAATTTTATTTTATTGTTTTCAAACAAATATGCAAACAATCAGATTGAGTCCAACTCTCGACTTAAGCTCTTTGCTGTTGCCTCGCTGTGGATGACTTCATTCTTTGTTTTCCAGCCTTTTCCACTAATTGTTTTCTATATTACATTTCCATGTCCCTACAGTCAGTCACTCAGTTACTCTTCCTAGTCCTTTGAAATTTCCCAAACCAATAACAATCCACCCATCTGATTATAGTCCCTTAAATTGGTAAGAATTATTAATATTCGTATCTTTCAGCTTTATGTTCAGAGAGGATGGTGCAAATGAAAAAGACCTATAATGATGTAGACGCTGTCACCAAGTTACTGGATGAGGTAAAGTAGATAAATGTTTGTCGCCAGTATCCGCCTAAAAGGCGCCCACTGTGCTAATAATTGTGTGTACATAAGATTGATGTTTATTATATGTTCCCAAATAACATGTCAGAGGTTGTACAGACTTTTTTTAACTTAATTTCCTGGATGCCAGACAAATATCCTCATTAGAATAGGTTTTGCTTAGTGTATTAATGTTTTCATTCATTTTTTTTCATACAAAAACAAATAAATAATGTGAAGTTAGTCAATTAGTATTACTGTATATTTAAAAAAAATATTATTGTCAACAATTGACAATGAATATATTTTCTTAGATACTTTGTGTAGTTATATTTATGTAGATTTATGGCTACTGGTCCGATGTGAGCACAATAAATTTAATTTGATAAACAATACTAATAAAATATTTATATTACTTTATTACAAATCATACAAGTTACTTTCAGGTACAAAAGAGATGACCCAATATAATGAAAACTCAAAAAACAATCCTAAATGTAAAGCCTAGTAGCTCCTTCATTGAGGCATGTAATATTATTGACTTTAATTGCATGTGTGTTTGTCTATGTCATACATAAATCAACACATATAAACAAATGAACAGCTTAAATTATCATCTGCATTTTTATAGAGTATCATTATTACTTTATAGTTATCTAAAAATATGGTTTGTATTACCGATTACTTATATAGCCAATCATCAGTAAAGTGGTAAAATGAAAATAAAAATTATCAAATGCAGATGATAATGCAAATATAAAAGATTTATGTATATGCCTTATCTTTGTTATGCATACTTTAAAAAGCTGGATAGCTCAGTATCTTAAATATAATGTTTTTTTTTTGTTTGCCCATGTTCAAACATATCTGTACAAAAACAGCCTATTTTCCCTGCTATTGTTGCATGCAGATGATAATTTGTATGAACAGTTTGTTTACATTCTGTAGCCTTTGACATTGGCCATGCCTACTTGAAACTACTATACTACTTATTCTCTGTGTTTGCTCATGTTGATACCTATTTAAATTAACCATTTTTTTTTAGTGAACTGTTGTTTGTTTTATGTGAGATGGTCAAGTTCAGAATAAATAATATTTCCACCTGTTGCTGTTTACTTTATATTTTTTTTGAAAATCATGCTTTCAATGATAAAAGTAAAGATAACTTAATTGTACCTAGTTGAGAAAAATTATCAAATGCAGATGATAATGCAAATATAAAAGATTTATGTAATATGCCTTATCTTTGTTATGCATACTTTAAAAAGCTACTGTAGATTCAATTCAATTCAATTCATTTTATTCAGTCTATTATACATGAATATAACAGAAATGTGTTTTGAAGCAAAGCAATCAAACATAAATATAAGTATTAAGTAATGTTAGAACAGTAAGATAAACTATAAAAACATTAAAAGACAGTAAAAAGTATTAAGATATATTATTTAAACACAGGACGAAGATGAAAGACAAAGAGCAGAAAATGCATTAAAATAGTATAAAATTATTGCATTGCATGTTAAAAGATTAAGACCAGGTTTAAAATAGTATAAAATTATTGCGTTTATATTAAAATATATATCGGCAGTGAAGACAAAGAGCAGAAAATGCATTAAAATAGTATAAAATTATTGCATGTTAAATGGTTAAGACCAGGTTTAGACTAGTATAAAATTATTGCGTTTATATTAAAATACATATAGGCAGTATGCAAGAAAATTCCATTTAAAAATTAGCAGGGATGGAGAATTACGATAATCACCTTTTGGCACGTCTATTAAATATATGGATAGAATTGGGTACAAAAGACTGTCTAAACCTCTTAGTTTTCGATATAGGTGGAGTTAATCTGGTACCTGAGTAACTATAGATAAAATGGGAGATCGCTCAGTATCTCAAATAAAATATTTATTTTTGTTTGCCCATGTTCAAACATGTCTGTATAAAAACAGCCCATTTTCCCTGCTGTTGTTTGTTTTGTGTGGGATGTTTTATCTTTTATGGTATGTATATTAGCCAATTATTGCAACCGTCATCAATACCCTAGTAAAAAAAAAAAATTGTGTGGGATGTTTTATCTTTTATGGTATGTATTAGCCAATTATTGCAACCGTCATCAATACCCCAGTAAAAAAAAAAAAGAATACTCCATCAAAAGCAGATGATAATTTGTATGAATAGTGTGTTTATATTCTGTAGCCTTTGACATTGGCCATACCTCTTGAAACTACTATACCACTTATTCTCTAGAATATTTATCTCTGTGTTTGCTCATGTTGATATCTATGTAAATTAACATTTTTTTTTGGTTGACTGTTGTTTGTTTTATGTGGGATGGTCAAGTTCAGAATAAATATTATTTTCACCTGTTGCTGTTTACTTTATATTTTTTTGAAAATCATGCTTTCAATGATAAAAGTAAAGATAACTTAATTGTACCTAGTTGAGAAACCTGAAAATTTAGGTCAGGCACTTGGAGATATGACAGCTTCAATATCGTACCACCCAATGTTTTTAGAAGTATTGGAAAAACCTATGTTTCTATCATTAGATTTCAATCAAGTGCAGTTGGTCTAATAACTTGCTACTACCAATTCCTTGCTTATTTTTTTTGTCATGTTTGCGCATTAATTATATATTTACACATTATTTTAATGATGATATTTCAGAAAGAGAAGGATCTAGAATTGGCTGCAAAGATTGGCCAGACATTGCTGCTACAGAATAAAAGCCTAGAAGATAAGTTAAACACGAGTGATGAACGACTAACGGTGATCACAGACCAGGTTAGTAGTAAAGAAAGTTGAAAGAATTTTTCAGAGTTACGGTAATTATAGGTTGATTAAAACCTGTACATAAATATAAGCCAAAAGATAAGTTAAACACGAGTGATGAACTACTAATGGCGATCACAGACCACCATGTTAGTAGTGAAGAAAGTTGAATGAATTTTTTGAGAGTTACACTAATTATTGGCTGATTAAAACCTGTACATAATATTACTTTCATAAATAAAAGCCCAGAAGATAAGTTAAACACGAGTGATTAATGACTAACTGTGATCACAGACCAGGTTAGTAGTAAAGAATGTGGAAAGAATCGTTGAGAGTTAATTAATGTCTGACTAAAATCTGCACATAATATTACTATATTTGTCAATTAATGAATTGGTTGTGCTTGAAAATGCTGTGCCCACAGCTCAGAAAACTAAATTTTAAAATTAATTTAATGCAATCTGTTGCATCAAAGTGTATTCATCATAAATTTGACTTCATGTCAATGTTTTGTACTTGCTTCTCTTGTGATGCTTGATTAAGTTTACCTTCTTGTTGTTTGATTTCAATAATTACTGTTGCTATGGTAATATCCATGGTGATGATACTATGGTTGTAATTCTTCAGAGTGTGTGAGAGTTAAAGATGAAAATGATGATGACGATAGTGATTGTGTTTTATTATGCCAAGGTTGAGCAGAAATTAACTTGCCAATAGTGATTATGATAATGTTCTCAAATTAAAAAGAAACATCCAAGGTTTTTGAAAAATAATGTTTGTGTATTCATTATTCCTTAGAATACGCAGCTTCGACATGAAATGAAATTGAAAGAACAGCTTCTTCAGATCTATACTAATGACATAACGTACAATGACAGTGAAGATGAATTGCAAGAGTAAGGCTTTTTATTTATGGGGGTTGGGTAATTCATGTAGTAGTAGATTTGGTGTTGAGGATATTTTGTTGGGGTGGGAAAGTTTGTTTTAATAATAGTAATGAAAACTTTTTATTTGCGCCGGTATCCATCTAGAAAGATGCTCATGGAGCATCAACACAACAGTGCACTTCAAAAGCTTGAACTACCCAAAAAAAATTTATTTATTTAATTATTATTTTTAAAACCTAAGCAACATGATGGTCTTATTTCAAATTGAGTGCTGGGTGATGAATCCATTGTTTAGAGCTATGGTTTGGTGGTTGAGATTTTCTCCCTGACCAAAAGGAACTCCACTCTCTAAGCCAATAGCATTTCATAACTGCTGAACATTGTTTAATTTATTCACAAATGAGGTTGATTGATTGGGTAATTGAGTTTGGTTGATTGATATTTATCAATTAACTTGACATTTATGTAAACAGTACAGTGAAAATATTAAGTGTCTTATCCTTTTTAAAAACTTATCAACAAATTGTGTCATCTTCAGGGAGCGTAAATCGTATCATTTTCAGTTTATCGACGTGGATACGCTGCAAAAGAAAGTACGCAGTTTGGAAGAACAGAATCTGGAGCTTAGAATGGAATCAACCAACTTAAAAAGTTATGCCGAAACAATTGAAGAGAAGGAAAAGGAGCTAATGCAAGATTGCGTTTACGAATTAGGTATCAAACCATCTTTTTCATTTCATATATATTTAAAAGTTAGGGTCAATTGGTCAGCATTCATTTTTTTACTATCATTGAGCTAGGCCTAAATATAGAGTTATGGTATGTGTTAAACATCACTGTATTTCAGTTGATAAAATGTTATCAACAAGGCTAAGAATATAAAATATATATACTGTATTTGCAAAAAAAAAACAAAAAAAAACCAGGATAATTAAAATAAATAATAAAAGATAATGAACTACATAAATTTTATTTTCCCCCTATGTTATGTAGCTGAAGAACGTACTAGGAATGCTGTTTTAATGGATGAATTGAGTCAGAAGATAGATGAATGTTACAAACAACAGGATGAAGTCACAAGGCTGTTAGCCCAGATTGTCACATTACAGCAAAAAAACAAAAAGGTAGGAATTGATTAACTTTCTCTAACTAGGCTTCAGATATTTACTTTGAAATCGGCTGCCAGAAAATTTACTTTTACTCTTGCATCTTCATTTGAAATATTTAAGAAGTCCCTTAAGAACACATTTTCACAACATTTTTCCTCTTGTTTAGTTTTCTGACAATCTTACTTTTGTCTGATTTTTTGTTTTATTATTGTCGGATAGGCTAGCTAGATGTCATTTTCACTAGAGCTCCTGTGAATACTCTTCCAGTGCATCTAACATTTAGGCTTCAAATTGCTGGAGAACAGAGCAGTGTAAATTATTTTGTCTGCTTTTTTGCCATTTTGTTTGTTAGATTCCCTTGTAGCATCAGGATATTTCATGGTTAGTTTTCTTTTTGTTCATAAAGCCAGAGAGGCAATTTTTATTGTTATTGTTATTATTATTATATACATTTATTATTATATAAATTTGATCTTTTGAATTTCATTAAGCATGTATAAATCTAAGAAAAATAGAAATATACATGCTTTGTTGCAGCTTGTATGAATTTGAAGTCTCCCAGAACCTTTAAGTTTAATATCTTATACTTCCAAAATAGACTAAAAATCTCCCTAAATTCAAGGAATCTTACAAACTTCAGTTGCGTTTACTGCATTTTCTCCCCTGTCATTTTTTAAATTATGATATTTTTAATATTATTGTAATGTATTCCTGGCATCAATTACCATACATGTTTACAAGATACTGACAAAGTATTCAAAAACATTACAGAAACAAAATGCTATGAATTATTTTATTGATTATGACCTCACCAACAATGCATTTCATTTCATGGGCACACCTAACACGTGTTTTTATAAACATTAATTTTGTTTTGTCAGTACAGGTATGTTAAAATGAAATGAAATATTGTTAACAAATGCTTGAATTTGCTTCAGTTTACAATAGAGAATGAAGAACTGACTCATCATCTTGCCGCTGCTAAAGATGCTCAAAATGAACTGACAATAGAGGTAAGTTTAAAACTAAATAATAAAATAAGTTCCTCAACAGAATTATTTGAAAAGAAGGCTACACAGGTCAAAGTAGAGGACAATGAAAGTAATATTCACTAATTGTAATGCTGTTTTCAAAACTTATATTTTTTAGTATTTGCTCAGTATAAAACCTTATTGTTCTTTTTCAAAATTTATCATTAACCTTATCCAAAGTCATTATTTTTAGGCTTTACTAGAATATCAAAATGCTTGAGTGAAATAGGAATATTGTTACATAAATTGGGAGCAAAACTCAACAAATATGAAAATTGATAATTTGATTCCTTTCTAACTTGTTCTATACATGAACTTGTTCTTGGAAATAATTCTTTTATCAGAACTTTTATGGAAAGCAATAATTCTATTTTAATATTTTGTATCTCACATTTTACCCATATAGAACATTTTAACATTTGTTTTACACTACAATTCTCGTATTTCTATTTTTAATATTTTTACCTAATTAACTTTTGATATTGATTTTGTTGATGATTTTGTACATATATATATATATATATATATATATATA